CCAATAAGATTTGCTGGTGTGCTATATGCAGAGTGTGTGTGTGTGCGTGCACACAGGACGGGGGTGGGGGTGGGGAATCAGGAAGTACCCCCCACGCAGGGGTTTTGAGCAACTAGAGGACAGCTGAGGGTGGAGTGGGCCTGGGAGCCGCACCATTTGGCATTCCACCAGCACCATATGAGGGTTCCAACTTCTCCACCTCCTCCCTAACTCCTGTCATTGTCACTTTCTGATTCCAGCCCCATCCTAGTGGGTGTGAAGTGGTGTCTCATTGTAGCTTTGATTTGCATTTCCACAGTGACTAATGATGTTGAGCATCTTTTTGTGTGTTTGTTGACCATTCTTATATCTTTGGAGAAATCTCTATTCAAGTTCGTTGCCCATTTTAAAAATTGAGTTGACTTTTTATTATTATCGTGTTGTATTGTTTATATATTCTAGGTACTGGCCCCTTACCAGATATATGACTTATGTATCTTACATACAGATATATTGTAATTTATTTTAATTTTGATTTTTAAAGCTTTTTTTTTTTTAGGTTTATTTATTTAAGTAATCTCTAAACCCAACGTGGGGCTCGAACTCACCACCCTGAGATCAAGAGTCACCTGCTCTTCCAACTGAGCCAGCCAGGTGCCCCCCACCTTTTCACTTTTTCGGTAGTATCCTTTGAAGTATAAATGTTTTTAGGTTCGAGAAAGCCCAGTTTAATTGATTTTTTTCCTTTATCACTTACGCTTAGGGTATCATATCTGAGAAATCATTTCCTAACCCAAGGTCATGAAGATTTACTCCTGTGTTTTCTTGTAAGAGTTTTATAATCTTAGCACTTGGTCGTTGGTGCATTTTGAGTTAATTTCTGTATATGGTGCAAGGTAAGGGTCCAACTTCATCCTTGACATGTGAATATCCAGTTGTCCCAGAACCATCTGTTCACTTCTTTCCCACCCAATTGTCTTGATACCCTTGTCAAAACTTAACTGACCCTAAGTGGGAGGGTTTATTTCTGAACTCTTTGTTCTGTTCCATCATCCTACATGTCTCTCCTTACGCCAGTCCCACCACGTCTTGTTTGCTGTAGCTTTGTAGTAGATGTAAAATCCCCAAAGTGTGGGTCCAACTTTGTTCTTCTTTCTCAAGATGATTTTGGCTGTTCTGGATCCTTTGCATTTCCCTACAAATTTTAGGAGCAGCTTGTCAATTTCTGCGAAAAAGGCAGCAGGGATTTTGATAGGAGTTGTGTCAAATTTCTTCCTATGATGTTTTTGAACAGCGATGTTTTGTACTTTTCCGAGTACAAATTCCATACCTCATTTGTTAAATTTATTCCTAAGTGTTTTATTATTTTTGATGCTATTGTAAATGAAATGGTTTCCTTCATTTCGTTTACAGATATTCATCGCTAAGGTATAGAAATACCAATGGTGTTTGTATATTGATCTGGTATCCTGCAACTTTATTTGTTCTAATAGTTTTTTAGTGGATTCCTTAGGATTTTCTGTATACAAGGTCCATGTCACCTGCAAATAGAGTTTTACTTCTTCCCCTTTCTAATTTGGATGCCTTTTATTTCTTTTTCTTGCCCAATTGCCCTGAATTGAACTTTCAACACAACATTGAATGGAAATGGCAGGAGTGGACATCCTTTTCTTCTTCCTAATCTTGAATGGGGAGAGCTTCCAGTCTTTCACCATTAAGTATGATAACAGCTGTGGGTTTTTAGTAAATGCTCTTTATCAGATTGAGGAATCTCCCTTCCATTACTAGTGTGTTGAGCGTGGTTCCATGAAGGGGTGTTGGATTTTGTCAGATGTGTTTTCCGTGCCTATTCAGACAATTGTATGGTTTTTGTCTCTTTTTTCAGGTGTTAAAACACCCTTGCATTTCTGGGATAAGTCTCACTTGTTCAGAGTTTGGACTCCTATTTGTATATTGCTGTATTGTTTGCTAGAACTTTGTTGAGTATTTTTGCATATCACAGGTATTATGAATATCTGTATTCGTAAGAGAGACGGGTGTGTGTTCTCTTTTTCTCGCGATGCCTTCACCTGGTTTTGGCCATCTTTATCTTTCGGTATGTTAGAGAGTGTTGAACAGGAGAGGCTGCTCAGCTTCTCTCCTCCCGTGCTCACCTGCGTCAGGTGGGGAGGGATGGACGGAAGCTCTGAGCCCGAGTCCAGACAGCGCCAACAGAGCTAACAACGGGAAGGACACAGCCTCATCTGTAAAATGGTATAGGAAACTAGCTGACAGCCTGGAGGCATGTGCTGGGCCTTCCTGTTCTGAGCCTTGTGATTGCCAGCAGGGAGAGCACCCTAGGGATCTGCCACATACTGGACTTTAAGGGAGCAGGAGGGACCGTGGGGACCAACCTGATGCCCCCAGCTCTAAAGCTCTAAGAGCTCAATTTACAACAGCTAACTGAGCAGCATGCCCTCCCTGTTAGGCTGCTGGCCCAAATTTCATGGAGAAGAGGAGAGAGAAAAGCAACATCCTTGCCTCTGCACAGTTCCTGGTCAGGCCCTTGTGGAATGATGAGTGCAGGCCAGCCGATGATAAGGACAGGTCAGACAATGTTCTGGCAGGGCCTGTCCCCTCTTGGTGAGGCCTGGGAAAAACAGCAAGTCCTTTGGGAACGGAACAGGGCACAGGATGGGCAGCAGCTCTGTGGGCCCTTTCCGCACCCGGCTCCAGCAGCAGAGTGGGAGGCTCTAAAAATGGAAGCTGCCGATTTTCCCACCCCAGCCGGGGCTGGGAGACCAGCCAGCACCGTGGCACCAGTGGGACTCTGGCAAATCTTCTGTTTCAGGTGTCTTGCTAAATAGGAGTCATCGGAGTCCCTGTGTGACCTTGAGGAGGTCACTTCCTTCCCCAACTCAGAGCGTCACCCCGGTACACATGCCAGGCAGGCCACCGTGTTGCGAGTCCTAGCCCCTGGTCTGTTCCTTCTGCAGACTCACCATTCCCTCCTAGGGTAGCCAACGCTATTTCTGTGCCTGCAGCTCAGCAGAGAGGCCTCAGGTCCCTGCGAGAGAGCCCACGAGGCAGGCAAGGAAAGAAGCAGGTAGGCTGCCACCGCTCATGGCTGACCACTCCCCTTCCCCAGCCCCCGCCGGCCCCTCTGGAGTAGCGAGCTGGGCAGGCGGCGCGCCCCAGGAAGAACCGGCGTCTGGTAGGTAACCAGCTCAGCTGCTCTGCAGGCTATGATGTCATCTTGGATTCTGTGGTTGCTAGGAAAATTCTGCCTGCAGTGATATTTCATGGTCCTAGGACCGAGGCGAGAACAGAACGTTCCCAAGAAGACAAGGGGAAGGATTTGTAGGACTTCCCAAGCAAAGGAGCGCCCATCCCAAGAAGTCAGATAATTGGAGCTTCTTGCTAGATGCTTATTCCCCTTTTCAGGAATGGAAGTTGTGCTGGTAACAGCAGAACCCCCTCAAGGCAGATTGGGGTGCCAGTGGGGGGCTGGTTGCCTTGGCAGGACCTTGGTGCCCTGGTGGCCAGAGTGAAGGCCCATCTCTGTGATGTTGCGTCCTTGTGGGTGAGCTCTCCTCCTGCAGCACCCACAGTTGGGTGCCTCTGCCAGCCCTTGGTGTGGTGGGACGGTTAGGAAGGAGGAGGGGGAGCTCCTCTGTGGTGTGGAGGACGCGGGCCAACACCATGCCCGAAACTCTGCCATGCACCAAGCACACTGGCCCCCTCTTCTGTGGCCTTTCCTGTGTCTGCCCTTCCCATCCTCCCCTCCTGGGGAGAATCCCTCCAATGGTCTGGAAGAGAAGTATGTCCCAAAGGCCCTGGCCACGGATTCTTGTTCAGGGCGTGGTGAAGAACCACCCGTGAGAAAAGGGGGAGGGGCGCCTGGCTGGCTCAGTCGGTAGAGCGGGCGACTCTTGATCTCAGGGTTGTGAGTTTGAGCCCCACACTGGGGGTAGAGATGACATAAAAATGAAAATAAAAAATTCTTAAAAAACAAGTACTATGGAAAGAAAGAAAGAGAGAAAGAGGAAAAGGGGAGAAAACAGTAGGCCCCAGGGAGGGCCAGGGCCCAGGAGGGGGCGGGACCTGCCGGTCAGCCCGCCTTGCCCTGCAGCCTCTTCCTGCCCGAGCAGTCTTGGGTGGCTGCAGCAGGTCAGTATTTTGAGCTCTTTCCCTCCTCCCTCTTGCCTTTTCTGGCTGCATGTCAGAGCCTGTCTTATGGAAAACAAGACAAAGGAAGTGATTTCATGAGCGCCTGGACCAGAATCTCAAATCTATGATTAAAAATAACAATACTAAAGATTCTGGCCATTATCTATTTCTGTAGGAGGCAGGCCAATTGCATGCTGGAAATGGGTACCCGGCTATGCTCCTTTGAGCAGGTGCTGGATTTGGGCAAAGAGGGATGGCTATTAGAAGTCCTAATGAGAGGCGCCTGGGTGGCTCAGTCGTTAAGTGGCTGCCTTCGGCTCAGGTCATGATCCCAGGGTCCTGGGATCGCCCCGCATCGGGCTCCCTGCTCCGTGGGACGCCTGCTTCTCCCTCTCCCACTCCCCCTGCTTGTGTTCCCTCTCTCGCTATGTCTCTGTCAAATAAATAAATAAAATCTTAAAAAAAAGAAAAAAAGAAGTCCTAATGAGCAAGAACCTCCAAAGGGATCAAGACACAAGCCTTGAGAAGAAAGACAGAGGTTCCCAGCTCCCCTGGCTTTGGTGACCTTGGAGCAAGGGATGTGAGCAGAGCCCTGCGCTAGGACAGCAGCCCTGGGTTCTTGTCATGCAGGCCTGCAGTGCCATAGCCTTAAGCAAGCCTCCCAACTTCACCCCTGCGGCCCTCCTGCCACCCTACGGCAGGGTTGCTGGCCATGTCCCCTGGCCAGGCTGTCAAGAAAGGTCTAGAGAGGAGGTAGGCTGCCTTGGAAGCACTGGGTACTGGGGAGGACCGCACTAGGCGGACCAATGCTGCAACGGGCCCCAGCCGCCTTGCACTGCCCCGTCCAACGGTTCTTGTCCCCTGGTCTGCAGGTGCCGAGGATGTGGTGATGGCGTTCTCCAGGTCGGAGACGGAGGACCGGAGGCAGTAGCGGTGAACCCCCTGGAACACCCTGGAAGCTGGCAAGGGCCAAGAGATCTGTGAGGACCTCGGCCAGCTGAGTGGCAGCAGAGCACCTTCCCGATTCCCCCCCCCCCCCACCCCCACCCCGCCCCACCCCGCCGTCACTCAGCAGGGCTGGCCTCGAGGGAGTCACCGGTGGTGCAATTACAATTGGCTTAAGGGGACGGACTCATGATTGGCTGCAGAAAGAAACCCTTTTATTTTTAAATCTTGACCAACAGAAACCTTTTATTTTTATTTCTGACTTTTTCTTTCTTTTTTTTTTTTTAATTTGCGCCTCGGTATGTGGCTTCCCAGGAAGCTCTCCGAGATCTGGTGCTTTATTTAGGTCACTTTTTAGGAATGTGAAGAGGCCCGATTGGCTGCTTAAACTGGAAAAGGATTTTGATTGGCCGGCTAGTGGGAAACGGTTTTTTCTTTGATTGGCTGCAGGTGTTCTGCTGATAGCAACAGCTTCTCTCTTTTGAATGCTGAAAACAGGGTTCGGGACATTGGTTGTTATATCTGACTTGAAAAGAAAAAAAGAAAAGAAAGAAAGAAACCAAGTGCGCTTTGCAATATTTATTACACAAAGAGCTTGCTGCTGCTTTCCCGTGTTTTGTTTGTGTTTGCATTTGATTGGTTTTTGATACGTGTGTTTGGGTTCTCATTGGCTCGTCCAGGACTCCCGTTGCCATGGGCTGCCCCCCCACTCTGCTGCGAGCAGTCCCTCTCCAGCCGGGGACCCACCTGGAGGGTGCATTTGCTTTAACGACCACACCTGGCTTCCCCAGTGAGGGGACCCCCCAAGACCCCATGCAGGGTCTACAGCTGGAAAGCGGAGCCCCCAAAGAGGTTTGTGCGGTCCTGAACGCGCGCAGACCGCAGCTTAGAGATGACCATTAGGCAGGATTTATGCGCATCACTTCCATGGGTTGGCAACCAGCCAGCTCCCCAGGGGGTGGGGGGGGGGGGGGGGAATGGAATTGCTGGGCCTCTCCAGCCTGCCCATGCCGAGCACAGGAGCACCGCACTGGGCGGCTCTGTCTTTTCAGCCCTTCCCTCCAGATCTACTTCCTGAGGCCTCATCTGGGGCTCCTCCTGCAAAGGGCAGGAGCTGCTCCTGGCTGTGAGACCCCACAGTGGAGCAGAACTCTCTGCCTAGGAGCCCGGAACCCTCACAGAGCTTGGCTCACAAGGCCCGGGAGGCCTTTGGCTCTAAAACCCTCAGCCCTGACCTCCGCCAGCCAGGCTCCCAAGGTGCCTGCCGCTGGGCAATAGGCCCTGGCCAGCACCCGGAGTTCTCGGATCCCAGGCCGGCGCCCCTCACTGCACCGCCTTCAGGAGGGTCTCTCTCCATGTCAGCCTGCAATGGACAGAGTCATTATTTATGAAGTGCCATCTGAGACAGCTGGCTGGGCCTTCGCTGAGCAGGTCCCACCAGGCTGGCCCTCAACTCAGGTCCCCGGAAACACATTGCCGAGCAGCCGTATGTGAAGGGCTGGAAGAACCCCGGGTCTCACCCACCTGTCCTCCCCCTTCCCTTGGGGTAGTCCTCCCCCTGCCCTTCTCCCTGTGTCTCTCACCAGAGTGGAACCCGGGGCGTGGGGAGGTGGAGAAAGACGTAGGCCCCAGGGATGGGGAGCCTACACGCTCCTCCTGAGATAGTAAATGGCTGAGGCCCCCTTTTTGCCCCAGATATCCAGATCCAGGAGAAGACTCTCGGAGCCAAATTTCCCCCGTCTCAGGGCTGGGGCTTCATGGATCACAGGAGCTGCCCTGGGACCATGTGGGCGGTTCATGCTGTGCTCTGAGCATCGTCTGGGCCTTGCCCCAGAAGGACTTGTGTGTCACAGCATAGATGGCCCTGACCTCCTCCACACACGGGCCCCTGGCCCTGGTTAGCTGACCTGGCTAGGTTACCCTGCAAAGACTGTTGCTCCCCAAGGAACGAGGACCGTGGGGACTCCAGCAGGGACCTGAGAGCATCTTCTTCCCGGAGAGCTGGTCGTGTGTGCACACACACACTCCCAGTCCCAAGTCCTGCAGCTCCAGTTGGAGCCCCTGGGGAAAAATGAGCTTTTTCCCAGCCCCCTCCCCCCAGGTTATGACATCTGTCACCAGGTGCCAATGCCGTGTTGCCATTTGCCCTCTCTGTACCTGTAGCTCCCACAAAGCGGCCGTGTCCTGGCCAATGGTGTGTTTTCTGCCCCAGCCTGCCCTTGTCAAGGTCACGGGTGTCCCTGTTGTAACAGCAATGGCCCTGATCTGTCTTGTCGTCTGAACGGGAGAAGTGAAGGTGTTGCTGTGGCTCCATATTTCGACTAAAAATATATCTGTTGGAGAAAAAAAATTAACAATAAAGATTTTTAATAGCGTGGTGTGTGAGCTGAGTTATCTCCCTCAGAGTTGAGTGCAGTCACTGATTCCTCGTCTCATGGGCTCTGCTGCGGGGCCCTCTCTCCTCAAGGAGGCACCACAAGGCGGGTCAAAAACACCACATTTGCTAGTTTAATTGTCTGCAACCTGGCGTGGAGCTTGGGCTTTGGAAGGATTCCGAGATTTACCTAGTGCGGCCGACAGGTCCATAGGAGGCTGAGCCCGCTTTTTGACCTGGAAATTTTAAATATCATCCTAGATTGGCCTGAGGTCAGTAGTCTTCAGAGGTGACCTTGCCCCTCCATGCTCCTGACCAGACACGAGCACCCTGAAAGATGCTTCCTTCCACCCTAGACACCCAGCATCCTGTGTGTTGGCCGTGGTCTTGGGCTGCTTATAACAGAAGTCCAAACAAAATATCCGGTCCTTCCGTCATCCCAGAAATGGGAGATTTATTGGTGTTCAGCTGTATATTCAAGTTTAGAAGCTGAAATCATTTCTCCTTTAGGAATTTTTGCTTTGGAAGCATTTTCTAGAATCTTTCATTTCTACCCTTCATCATCCCATTTTAGGTCTTCATTTTTTTTTTTTTTTTTTTTTTTTTTTTTTCCTTTATCCTCCTTTTTTTTTTTTTTTTTTTTTTTTTTTTTTTTTTTTTGCTGCTTACATGGACTCACTGCTTCTATTTCCTTTTCAAAGAGTTTCACTGGGTGCTAAACACTGTGGGGTTCATAGAATATGAGGACGGATGGCACAATCGACATCATTCCCTCTTAGTGTTGGGAGAGATGTTGGAGGTTGCCTAGCAGCCCACACAATGGCCAGATGTGTGTGTCACCTCTGAAATAGCTCTAAAAAAGGCTTATCCAGCCTTTGCTTGAATCCCCTCTAGGATGGGGGACTCACTACCTCACAAAATAGCCCATTCGACCTTCAGGTAACTTACATCCAGCTTTATACTGAGTTGGCCTGCCTTTCTCCGTACCTTCCCTTTCCAGGAAGGACTTTATGGTTCTTGAGAAACAGACAAAAAAAGATAGTTATGTTAGCCAAACATCACAGAGACGCATCAAGGGCTCACATTGGGTAAATTATTTGTGTTCTGAGTTGCACTGTCGGGGAGTTAACCTCTCAGCCAATCTGTTCCTCTAAGATGAGCCGCAGAGCAGAGGGAGGGGCTGGCTGGCTCTGGTGCCCACTGCCCAGCTCCCAGCAGCGAGCCTGGAACTGGAGCCGGGAGGGAGGGAGGCAGGCATCCTGCAGGGGGATGGGGGGTTGTCTAATGGGAATTAGGCCACCAAGAAAGAGGACTTGGGACACCTCAGCAGGCCAAGGGAAAACACTGGGGACAGCACTGAGTCTTTGAGGGTCCCTCAGCCCACACAGCAGGCAACCATCTGGGTTCATCTTCCTAGGTACAGGTGCATGCAGCCAGCATTGACAACAGGTGGCCCTGGGACTGCTGAGGCCTGAGGCCAGCCGGGGGCCAGACTGAGTCTGGGGGAGGCCAGGGATGGACTGAGAAGGGGGGTAGGGCACCCTGCCTTTTGTTGGTGTTTCCCAGCCCTGGGGGGAGGGTGGTTGAGACTGAAGGTCTGCTTTGCCTGTCCCTGCAGGTGCCTAGCAGCTGGGAGAATCCAGGTTGCTCCACCCTTTGAACGGGACCCTTTGTAGCAGGGAAACCGATCCCTCCATGGCACCTGGTTCGGTGGTGGGGGCAGGAACCAGCTTGCAGGGCCGGGAGCTCGGGGTCGGGGGGCCCAGGGGACCCCACCACTACCCACTTGCCCCGCCTGCCCGGGGCACTCTCTCAATTTGTCTGTTGCCCATGGCACCCACCCCTTTCCCAGAAGATGAGATAGTCCCAGACTGATCTGAGGCCATGTTTAGAAAACGTTTCTCTGTCCAATGAAGGAACTGACTTTTCTTGGGCAATAACTGGGCGTTTAGTAGGGGATTTGAGGGGGAGGGGGCTTGGGGGTGACCATGGCTGCTAGTCCTAATTTAAAGAAAGGCCTCCTCAAAGAATAAGGGCAGTGAAATGCTTGTTGAATATCAGCCAATGCTTTGCCTTCACTTTCCTCCTTGACTTTGGAACTGCTCCCTCACGGATGGTTTCCCAGAGAGACCTGCCAGTCCTGCCGGGCAAGCAGGCCAGGGGGAGCTGCTAACAGGAGCCGAGCTACACCCTGCCCGGGCCTCTTCCTGAGTCCCCAGGGAAGGTGCACAGTGTGCAACAGGTGGCCTCCCTGTTTGCACACCTGTGGGAGCCCCGCCCCACATACACAGCCCCGGGAGGTGACTTCAGACCTAGGACCTCTGAGAGTTTCCACCTCCTTGGGCTTTGGCCTTGGCCCTTGAAGGTGGGTTTTCACAAACATCTTTTATGCAGGTAACTACCTTGTCCCCGTCTTTTTTTTTTTTTAAGATTATATTTAGTTATTCATAAGAGAGAGAGAGAGAGAGAGGCTGAGGGAGAAGCAGGTTCCCCGCTGAGCAGGGAGCCCGAGGCGGGACTCGATCCCAGGACCCTGGGATCATGACCTGAGCCGAAGGCAGATGCTTAACCATCTGAGCCACCCAGGCGCCCCCTTGTCCCCATCTTAATGACACAAGGAATGTGTGTTGGGCGCCACCTGTGTGCAGATGCATAGCGCTGTATGGTATTATCCCCATTTTACGGATGAGGGAATGGGGGGTTACATAGTTTGCTAACGATGATTGTGCTACAGTCAGAACTTGGACCCAGGTTGTCTGAGCCCAGATTCCATGCTTGTAGCCACTATTTTGATGGGGGTGGGGGTAGGGGAGAGTAAACCCTAGATCACCGGGTTGCCCAGTGCCCTCTCCGTGACCCCAGGACCAATCTGGGGTTTGCTCTTGTTCTCTAAGTCCCGCTGTGTCCAGCTATCGTAGGTTGTTAAATATTTGTCTGGTGCTGGGTCCTCAGGCCAGCCCTTACCTCTGGGGTGAAGCCTCTGCCTTTCCAGCCTGGGTGTGAAGCTGGCCTCCCACCACCTCACGGTGCCCTGGCAGCTGCCCAGAGCCAGCCATCGAAACTCCTGCTCTTCACCTTTCACCACTCTGATGCCTCACGTGGGGACCCAGCAGTTCTCCAGGCTAAGCTGGTTTTTCTAGAATGGTTTCCTCTTCCACTTCTCCTTGCCTCTTCCTGTTCACAGCCCCGGCCAAAACTGGCAGTCCAGCCTCAAAGCACCCCTGTCCCCACGTGAGTCA